GTTTCAGTTAATGGGTTTTGATCTAGAGGAACAAAAATTCATTCGGGGGTTCCTCAAGGATCTGTCCTTGGTCCTTTATTCTTTAACCTTTGTATGCTCCTGCTTGGTAATATGATAAACAATACCCATTACCACCATTCACACAAAGATGACACACAGTTGTACTTGTCATTTTCCTCTAATAATCTCATTTCTGTTCACATACTAACAAGGTTCAATGATGACATCAACTGCTGGAAGTCTCAGGACTTCTTAGAACTGAACAGAGACGAGTTGCTGTAGGCTCAAAAAGTCAGAGACAGAAAATGTATTCATGTTTATCTTCCTTTTCTCTGAGTGAGTAAATGACTTCTCATTCAGACTCATTCAGAATGAAGCAGCAGCCAGACTCCTTACACGAACATGCTAAATTGACCATATTACCCCAGTGCTGAAGTCACTTCTCTGGCTTCTCCCAGTTCAATACAGAATAACCTTTAAAATCGTTCTACTGGTTCATAAACTCAATGATCTGATCCCCCAGCACACTGTGGACTTTCTCAGTGTCTATAATCCAGCGCAACCTCTCAGGTCATCGCGTGTGTTGATGGTGCTTTCAGTTACTGCGGTGTTATTCTTTGGAACAAGCTGCCCTCTGACCTGAAGTCAATTACACTTGTGTCTTAATTCAGAAGAACACTTAAACCTTTTAGTCTCACATTTCTTTTACATTTCACTGTATGTGCGCATTTTAGCTTATATTTACATCTTTGTAAAGTTATTCGGTGTTTACGGCACGGAGTTTATGTGTAAATAAATACGCTACATAAGTTACAGGTTAGAAAAACAAAATAAAGATGAGCATAAACACGCTGAGATGCTCTGCAGTGCCAAGCTGGATTACAGAGATTAGTTATAATTCTCTGGATTTGTCCCTACAAGTCATTCCTTTTGTAATTATAACTTTCCCATTGTTAATAGAAAAATATTGACAGGAGCAGCTTTTAATTGTACTGATCTGTTGAGTCTTGGTGTGTGACTCACTGATATATGAGGATTATCAGGCAATTTGTTTACTTGCCAATATTCTTTACTCGTCAAAAGAAATTAACCCTTTAAAGCCGGTCGGAGCGGGCATGCTCCGTTTTGCGTAACTATTTTTAAATCCCGGTAGCACTGCAACCACGTAAGCTAGCGCTATATTTTTTTTGCATATGAAACAATAAGATGAAAACATCTTATGCCATCAGCTTGTCCTCGGTCACAGTTTCCTTCCACATATAGCTTTGCAAAAATTGCATAAAAGCACTTGCAGCAACAAACACATAATATTCCAGAAACACGCTTTGCCGATCCGAGCAGCTGTTC